GTACAGCTGGGTGAAGAAAAGTGCTAATTCCATGGCTGATGGGTTAGCCAAGCAAGGGGTGCTTAAGGATTCTTTGTTTTGGGCCACTTTTTAGCTTTCCTTCTTGTTYYYTGTTGTGGGGGARTTRAGATATTTTACCTCCCCTCTCTTGTACTCAAAGTTTCACAATTTTTATAATCTAATAAAACATTCTGTTATTGATAAAAAAAAAATTACAACAGATTTAAACATCAGCCAAACAAATTCAACAAACAGACTACCTATCTCACCCAAAATCAAGAAATCCAAACCGCAATCAAATCCATAAATCCAGCAACAAAAGGGCACTGAGCATCATCTTAAATTCCCCAGTACTTAACTCAATTGCATATCTCCACCAATGATTTGAGCAGCTGCCTCTTTACTTCTCTTAAGAATTTTCTTTGTTTTCATTATGGTGAATAACTGGGGTAATTTGCTAATTTACATGATTTTGTTTTTCAAAACAAAAGCAACTGCCAAGTTAGTTTGTTGGTTTCCATAATTTGGTTCCACAGTGCTAGCCACATTATGTTTTTGCATTGAAGAATTGCTTTTTTTGTGCAGTCCTGTCCATCCTATAACAAATGTGGTCCCATTGAGTCTGGTGCTTTTTGTCTCCCTTGTCAAAGAGGCTTTTGAGGATTGGGTAAGTAATATAAGGCTATAAGCTTTATACACATAAACATGCGAAATCTTTGATGTCCTTTTTATTCTGATATAGCTGATGAACTGGGGTTTCATTCTGGTTCAATCACCCATATCTGTCAACTTTATTGTGCAGTTCAATGTTGGATGGTTATTTGACTTAATTGCTTCTTTAATTTCTCTAATTCTATAAACAGAAGCGCTTGCTTAATGATAGGGTGATAAATAGTTCACCTATAGATGTATTGCAAGAACAGAAGTGGGAAAGTATTCCCTGGAAGAAGCTCCAAGTTGGGGATATTGTTAGGGTAAGTTATCTGATTTTCTTACTTTTTCTTATGTATCTATTCTTTTTTCTATTTAATTTTTTGGACTAATAATAAAAAAATATTCATTAAAAAGCAAGACAATGAACAATACAGACATGAACAAGATTAAAAAGCCACAGAAGAAGCATAATACAGCATAAAAGTCTACAGAGGCAGCAACAATTTGCTCAACCTTCCCTATTTTCAAGATTGTTATCATGCAAATATAATTCATCCTCTGAACTGTATGTCTATTCAAGAGATCTGCTAAATGTCATCCATTCTAGGTGGCCATCTGAGCAAGGTGTTCACTTTAGATGCCAAATAGCTGGTTACTCTATGAAATGACCAACAGAAGAAAGACCTTAAGCGGCTCTCAGCACGCAGCTGCTTATAGTCTGAGAACCATTGCCACCTTAACTTGATCATGAGTAGTCGTCAACCTTAGGCCATGAGTAAAGAAAGTATCTCTTCACAAACCAGTTCTTCTAGCTAGTTGGACCGAAATTCACAAGGGGAATGTGTTTTCTGTGGTTTCTGAAGGCCCCTCCTCTCAAAGGACCGGGATTTCTGAAAAGAACATACATAAATCAAAGTCAAGCTATTGATAAAAAGATCAACATACCCATTGGAAGATAAATACCATAGAAATGCCTATTAAGTTTGAAGTAGTCTTGCCTGGGGTATATGCTATGTATTTGGTGATCCCTGTATGGCTGCACTAATTTGTACGTTAGCCCATATTTGGTTGCAATCATCATTTAGGCCATGACTACGAAGCTTTGAGCTTGGTCATGTGACTAAAATATTTTTATGGTTTCTGCATTATTGTTTTTGTTGGATAATATGAATATTGGCATGGTTTCTGCATTATCATCAGTTTAAACCTACAGAGATGTCACAGATTCATCATCTAGTAATTTTATTATATCCTGATTCCTTGATCATGTTACTCTTTATTTGAGGCTGGGTATTATGGATTCTGAATCCTTTAGCCATCCCACCACCAATTCTGAATCCCCTTCAATCGTCACATTCACTATGTTCATTTTTTTTTGATAAATGATTGAAAATTTATTCATGATAATCAGAATGATATTACAATACAGCCTGCCCAAAGGAGAGGCACGAGCTGGTACCTCTCCACAACAACAAAGTACTACCTCAGACTAGGAAAAGAAAGTTTACAGAGCTGCCCAGAATAAATGTTCCCTTGATTACCCCTTGTTTAGCTAACCCATCCGCTATGGTATTAACTGTTCTACCCACCCACTGATATTAACAGTCATGTTCCTTGAAAACCAATTAGCTTTCCTCATAATATCCCTGTAGCACCAAATAACTGAAGCTGGATTTTTTAACCAGCCCACGACTTTGGAGTCTCCTTCAATAAGCAAGTTCTGAACTCCTAACTGGTCTGCAATCTGAATACCTTGTACTGCCGCTAGAAGCTCAGCTCTAATAGAGTCTCCTATACCCACGGAGCCTGAGAATAAAGCTAATATATTACTATCTTTATCTCTCAGCACCCCACCTATCCCTGATGGACCCGGATTTCCTTGGCTGCTACCATCAAAATTCAGCTTTGCCCTGTCTTCTGAAGGAGGCACCCACACAGTTGGTACCCTGTTCTTCTTGTTACTGCTACTAGCCACAACAATCCAGTTCCTCCAAATGTCATCAAAGGAATATATTTTAAAAGATTCCAATGATCTCAACCAATGGATTGCCCTGGTCAAAATGCAATCCTTTACATTCTGAATATTTCTCTCCTCTTGGAAAATCCTCGCATTTCTTTTTTCCCAAATTGTCCACAAAGCAGCAGCTCTAATGCACCTCCACATTGTTTTACCAATTTTTGTGGGCCACACAAAGAAGGAAGGGTCAAAGATCTGAATAACGACTGTGGTCAAATTCCATTTGCAACCAAACAAAGAAAAGATCCAACCCCAAATAGCAACAGGAAAAGAACATGTTAAAAGTAAGTGAGAGCAATTCTCACCATTAGCCCTGCAAAGTACACACCAATTAGGAGACGAACACATAGAAGGCCTTCTCTTCTGCAATAAGTCTGAAGTGTTGATTTTACTATAGAACACCTCCTAGCAGAAAATAATAATTTTAGGAGGTACAGGTTTAGACTTCCGCTTGCCCTTGCGAAGTCTGTAAGATAAGTGTTAGATACAGTGGGCTATACACTTCCGCTTGCCCTTGTGAAGAGCAATAGGAAGGTCAAGGTCTGGAACAGTCTGAGATGGGTCAGTAGAGGGCTGAGCTGTTTCCTCGGGAATTATGGGAGTGGCAAGATGCTCTTCTAAAGGAGTGGAAACAACCTGCACATGTCTGAATCTCTACCTTTGGTACCACCTTTGGAGAGCAGGAGCAGAAGGAGGAGGAGGAGCAGGGATATCAGAGGTAGGTCCAGTGGAAGAGGTGGGCACCCCATGATCGGACTCACAAGGGATGGGAAGAGGAACAACTGGAGACATAGCAAAGGGCTCACCGGATTTCTCCCCCTCAGGAGGAATACTAAAGAAGGGAGTCAACTCGGCAAAGGTGACATCCCGAGATACAAAGCGGGTGCCACGAACTGGATCAAAACAGCAATAACCCTTCTGTTTGGAAGCATATCCCAGAAACACACACTTATGAGCCTTAGGTTCAAACTTGTGCCT